AAAAAAAAAAAAAAAGATTTAAAAATTATTTCCTTTGTATCATTGTCTCCATATCTTCAAGGACCCTCCTACTTTTAAAAAAATGCTCCTGTATATACTTTTACTTTTCTTTCTCTTTTTTTTTTTTTTTGAGGCAGAGTCTCACTATGTGGCCCTGGGTAGAGTGATGTGACATCACAGCTCACAGCAATCTCAAACTCTTGGTCTTAAGCGCTTCTCTTGCCTCAGCCACCCAAGTAGCTGAGACTACAGGTGCCCACCACAATGCCCAGCTATTTTTTTTGTTGTTGCAGTTGTCATTGTTCGCATTGTTAGCAGGCCCAGGCCAGGTTTGAACCAGCCAGCCTCAGTTCATGTAGCTGGCGTCATGACCACTGTGCTACGGGCGCCAAATTTTACCTTTCTTTCTTTTATGGTAAAAAGCTGTATTCACATATCTGAGCATCCTTAGCTAATTATTTACACGTAAGAGAGAACTCCCACCCCAAACCCTGGAAATTTGTATTGGCCAAGCTCATTTCACATGGGCTTCATTACAGACAGGTTAATCAAGTGGCTAATTATCTTTCTGACAGGGGACCTCTTTATGTCAGTGTCTGTAAGTCATTTTTCCTTGAGCAGTTCAGAGTCTCAACTGGAATACCCTCCACTCTGTTGCCTGAAGAGTTCACGCCTGGCTGCTGGCATTCTGGGACCTCTAGGGGAAGGGGGCTGAGACAAGTCTCACTGCTCAGTATGCAGTGAGGGCACTTGTTTTCATTTCAGTGTCTCCGCCCTCTAGTTTGTCTGAAGGCTTTGTTTGGAGACCAGGGCTTCTCTAGTTTCATTTTTCCTGTTTCCCATGGGGTGGAAGTGAGGAAGCCACTTGGCACAGGAGTAAGAATCTGCAGGCTCAATGGCACCTTATGTCGACTTTTTTTGAGACAGGGTCTTGCTCTGTTGTCAGGGCAAGAGTACAGTGGTGTCATCAGAGCTCACAGCAACCTCAAATTCCTAGCAATCTTCCTGCCTCAGCCTCCTGAGTAGCTGGGACTACAGATGCTTACCATTGTACCCAGCTTTTTTTTTTTTTTTATAGAGACAAGGTCTTGCTCTGTCACCCAGCCTGGTGCAGGTTATAGCTCACTGCAGCCTCCAACTCCTGGGCCCGAGTAATCCTGCCTTAGTTTCCCAAGTAGCTGGGACAACACCATGCCTGGCTTATTTGTCTTTTTCTTTTTCTTTTTTT